GAGAAGCTTGAGCCAGGATAATTACACGGCGTGAAAAGAGAAACAAGGCCAGATCAGCTTGCTGGTGAAGAATAAGTGGGTTAAAATTGAAAGACCGTTTGATTTTGCAAGTTAGCTAAACCGTTGAGATTCTAACCGGTACTTACAGCCACTCCCTTGTGTACCTAAATTAATTTTTAGCAATATTGGGAAGTACATTACACTTAGGTCTTTCAAAATTCGCGCAATTGGTTCTGCTTACCAAGGAGAAATTTAATATCTAAAATATTTCTTACATTAAAACGTTTAAAGTAAAGAAATTAAAAAAGGAAGTTTTTGAAACTCGATCCCAAGGTTAAAAATGAGCCCAACAATAATTTAAACCCAAGTGTAGTGGTCGTCTTTATTCCTAAGTTCTCTAATAAAATCAAACAGTACCTAGAAAATGAAGGTTTTTGGACTTACACAAAATGGTCGATTCTTTCCGATCACAGGTATGCAGTAAACTTCATCTCCCGCATGGGACAAAGGAGAAAAAAGTCGTTTATAGGATCAGTTGCAGTGACTGTGAGATGATCAACATCGGAAAGACTATAACAAGGTTATATAAAGTGGATGTACAGCATCTAGCAACTCTGAGGAATGGAAAAACGTTTCATTGTGGTAGCGCCTCCCACGCTTTCTACTTGGGTCACTCCGTTGGTCGAATAAAGGTCATTTCCTTTACAAGAAAAGAACAGACCATGTTGTTCATCAGATAATCAGTGAGTATGTTAGTAAAGAAAAGCCGATTCTGTGACGATTATGCGGGCTCTTGTAGTTTTATCACTGACAGCTGGAATGTCAGGGAAACGTAATGGGACAAAATCTATTATCACTCAAGTTCACTTATTAATTTTGTGCTGTTTTATTGCTAATGGTATAACCCTGATGGAGACGCTTGAGTGCCGCGTTGGTGATTAGAAGAATCATCGCCACCCTTTGTAAATTGTCGCTTTGAACCATGGATTCATAAACATCGATACTAATTGTTATCCAAGCAGGAGACGACGAATCGATAATTTTTATAAAGCTTTCTGAATGCATCGAATTTCTCGTTTGGTGCATAGCTCCTTTATGACCAGATTTCACACTGTGTAGCAACCTCCTTTGCTCCTGTTTGTGTGGGGACTGATTGGTGTTTAGGCACCTGCAATGCATTGGATGCATCTTAGCTCATTTTACCTGCTAGATTTACCTCGCACTTATCACCAATGATGCTTCAGGGCTGGTATTCATTTTTTCTACCTCATAGACATCATAAATCGTTTTTACGCCAGAGTATGTCAAATAACGAATGGCTCTTGCAAGACCAGGTTTCACGACGTATTTTATCATTGGCATTTCA